CTCGTTTAGAAATGTGAGCATCCCCATCCAGACCCCATAAACTAATGTCCAAGATGAACATATCCCCGCCACATCTCTGTCCATGTACCTGCACATGAAGGATAGGCTTTTTATTCAGTCAGTCAATCAGTTCAATTTAAACCAGTATATCAGTGACGATAAGACTGGGAAAGTGGTGGATAGAACAAGGAGTCAAGTGTTTCTCGTATTGCATTGCAGGCCATGCCTTGCTTCACTAACCTTTGAACTAAGAGCCACAACATCACAATAATTAATGTGTTTAGAGTTGTTAGAGTTGCTCTGCTAGAATGCATGTAACAGGTAAATAAATCTTTAGAAGTCTAGTACAATAAGAGATCATTCACACAGTTCAGTGGTTTTGACCATGTTCTCAGAACCTCTTCCACAGTACTACTTTATTTAGTTTTATTTGTTTGTTTGTTGTTTAACGCCAGAATCAGCAATATTCAAGCTATATGACTGTAAATAATTGAATCTGGAGCAGACAATCCAGTGATTGACATCATGAGCATCGATCCACGCAATTAGGATACAATGCCATGCATCAACCAAGTCAGCGAGTCTGACCACCCAATCTCGTTAGTCACCTCTCACGACAAGTATTGCCGCCTCTTAGGCAACCATGGGTTACTGAAGACCTATTATTCACCCGGATCTTCAAGGGCCTCTCCATTTCGCAGATGACTCATTTTGATAAATAATAAACGCGAACGACAAAGTGGGATATTTCCTGAAAGTGAGGTAAGTCGTGGAATGCGTCTATTGGGTCTCAGAGTTGCCATCTGTGCTTCACCGCGTCAGAACATAATTATACCGTTATATTCTAATACATTTTAAATCTTATTGTCCGCATACAAATTGTTCTAAACACCGAATTGTTTGTCCGCAATATCTTTGAAATTGTAGTGTATGGGGAGATTGTGTTTTGTCGGGTGATACTGGCCCATTTCACGTATTGAAGTTTCAAACACCTTTAGATTAAACACGTTAACCTTTCATTCCGTTTTGGATTTAAACGCATTTCTAAGCCCTTTTGAGCATGTCTAGCTTGTGTGTTATACCTGAACATAGGTCTTGACACTGTTTGCTTGTGTAAATGCTTTGTTCACTCGTACCGAAGCTAAAAGCGGAATGACTGCTTAGAAACTCAGACCTTCAAGCAGGGAGGGATCCTATCGGAGTAGAAAATTGGATTTTAATGAGCTTGTCCTTCTGATGATTGTCACCTATTCCCGAGGAAAGCTTAAGCATCAGTATCTATTGAACAAATCAGTTTCAAAGAAAGCCCCTTGCTACAAGGACAAGCAGCATGTGGTCCTTTCAAAATTCAAGCCTTACATTGTTTGAGGTGTGTCTCCAACTAAAGTCCAACAGTAAACACCACATAAGAGACCATTGTTACCTTACATTTGTGGTTGATACAAATGACTGTCGTGTTGGTACATATATGTTGCTCTTGGTGTATGGATGTTTGGGATATATATGAGGCCTGAGAACGCCAACATGAACACAGGTACACCCACGTGACTGTGTGTGAAGCCTACCCGGTACAGGGGTGGGCTAACAGAACACACAACAGGGAACACCACATAAGAGACCATTAATACCTTAACCGAATCTAAGTGATATGATAACGGCAAGTTAGTGGAGACAGAAGAAGTGGTAACAGAGGGCTGCATTTTACATACAGGCTGTAATGGGCAATGCCTGTTGATAAATCTGCGTTACACTCATGTTAATATGCATGTTTCAACATCTGACAAATCTGAGTGAGTGAGTTGGGTTTAACGCCGCTTTTAACAGTGTTCCAGTTATATCACGGCGTGTCAGCTTAATGTGGGAGGTGAGTCCGAAGTGCTGCAGGTCTCAGACGTTTACCACTTCGGTGAAACCCACGAGCACGGGTATGGTGCTGACAAACCTAGAAACATAATCGGGGCGAACCGGGATTCGAACCCACAATCATGGGTTTCTGGCGTGCCCAAGGGACGCAACTCTGCTCAGTGAATCGGTGCGCCTTAGACGACTGGGCCACCCGTGCCCCCTGACAAATCTGAGCAATATTAGATTATACATCATATTATATTAGAACCAAGCAATATCCAATATCTCTCAGCTCTTATTATGTTTTCATGAGGTCGAGGCACGTGGGAAAAGAGTATTTGCAGTTTAAGTAATAAAAAAAGGTGAAGATATATGTTGACATACGAAAACATTCTCTCAATTAATATTTTATTTTTGTTAGTCCCTTCTTCCAACTTCTACCTGGTAGTAGTGCAATCATAAGAAATATACTCATAGACACGTTTCATGCCACGAACTTGAACAAATCAATGCAGTCTCGATAAGGTACGACGTATCTACTGTATCAGAGTCACATGTTCTATAACGCCTAGTTACTGTACTTTAAAAGTATTGATGTTGTCTGGTTGCATATCTGTGATGGCATAAACGTTTCTTTCAATTTTTAATAAATACGTTCCTCAGAGTTATAAAGTTACTTAATATATAAGTTCATAATTTTTCACAAATCTTGGTTTGGAATAAGTTTTACACAAAAATAGCCCAATTGCTTTCACTGAAATGATTTGAATATGAAGTGCTGACTTGATTTATCCACGGATTTTCCAGTGCACTCTACCACTAACAGAAATGTAAAGTTTAACGTAATTGATCATTTCGATGAAATATTTTGAATAACATTATCTGATCTATGTTGTGACCTCGAGTGGTAACGCAAAGCAAAGTCAGGGACAGTTGTGACTCGATGACGTCATCGTGTCCGTATAGGCAGACTAGCTTACATAGCCAGTCTAGGAAATATTAGACATTAGACATAATCCTAACATATATTTCATAAAAGAACGACTTTTTTCGAGTGTACGAAATTTTGACCGCGAATGTCAAACCCAATTTCACCTCACTTCACCTCGAGTGTACTTGGGCGTATGTCTTGACTGGTTGAAACTTATGCTAGCAGGAGTACTTGAAAATGTTATATCATTTTGTGTTTTGGAATATTCAGATCCTGGGAGTTTTGTCATATTACAAGGGTGAGACTAACAATTTGTTTACGCACAACTCGTTTTTTTTCAAAATCTGAGGCAATATTTCTTTCCAGTATGAGTTGGAACAAAATATGTCACCGGATCACAAAGGAACAATGCAAATATTTAATATTTAGGGGGCTTGTAAAAGAGAACCGTTACTATGACACATACATAGAGACCCGTGAAGATTAGGTTAGAATTGTTTTTCAGCAACCAATGATTGTTGTCGCAAGAGGAGGCTAACGGGATCGGGCGGTCAGGCCAGACAATCCAGTGATTTACATCTTGAACATCGATCCACGCACTTGGGATCGATGACATGTATCAACCAAGAAGTTCAAGTCTTCGTGGGTTTTTTCATGTCGATTACATCGACGTCAACACCATTTGATAAGAGTAGCTAAATTATGTTGATACCCGTCGCTGTGGTAACGCCGCAGTTTTGATACTTCAGTTGTGCGCTATCAACCAAGTCCCCAAGCTTCTCCGCCGCCATCATATATACTCAACAACAAAATGAAACAACAAATACAGTGCACATCTCTCATGACAGAATTGAGAACATTCAAAGAAATGAACTGTGCATGGCAAATGTTTCTGTCTGCTGGGATCCAAGGCTTCTCTCTTGATAGTGTTAACGTTCATCGTTTTTAAAGAATAGCCATCTGAGTTTGTTGGGCGATTTGTAAATAGTCAAAACAGCGGAAACATCTAACGTCTCCTCCTCTGAAGGTGGCAAAATCTGTATATTTTTTAATTTATTTTCCAAGCTGCTTGTACATTATACATATGAATGAACAAAGTCATACATATCGTAACACAATAATGTCAATATTATGTTAATCTGCTTTGGCAACGCTCACTTAATGTGTGTTTGTCCATCAGGAAAAGTCTGTTATCGCCATTGCTGTGGCTTTGAACTCATTGAACAGTAGGGCAAGAATTAAATAATATGCATGACATCTGTAAGACGGTTCACAGCAATAATGAATAGAAGACATGCCAGTTCATCACGAACGGAATGCGGCTTGGCCTAGTATCGGCCTGAATAGGCTACTGCGGTCATTTACTGTGTTTATCAAATTCAGTTTGAGGGAGATAATCGCTTGGTAGTCAAAAACATCGTTTAAGACATAAAAGAGGAAGTGAATTGAAACCAATATTGTTCATACTATCTTAAAAAATGCTTGTGTTGATTAAATATTTTGTGAAAATTATTTTATTGTTAGTATTGTTTGGCGAATATAGAGTTTGCCGCCGTGTTGATGCATCAAAGTTGTATTGTTATTTATATGGGACAATCGCTCCGCCACTGTGTAGGGGAAGGTAGCCTGGATGTGAAAACAGTCAATGGCTGTTGCCATCACCGCTGACCATTCGAGGCAGGAAATTGCGCATCTGTCGATTAAAGAGACGAACTGCATTCTGATATCACAGGCCAGTAACACAATTTACCATTTCACTGCGCTGAATTCATATTTTGGGTGTCAAGTGTTTATTATGTAAGACTGACGGCTTGGACTACTTATGGAATACATCGAATAATTGAAACTCGATTAAACGGAATGTTGTTCAAAGAGCATCAAAAGAGATTCCTTTAAAACACTGTCCATCGTGCCAATATAATATGGCATGACGTCATTATATGAATGGCCCCCGTTGGGATTCCGGATTTGCATAGGTCCACAGACAATTATGCTTCTCGTAAAGAGCGACCAAATGAATCGGGTGGTCAGGCTCGATGACTTAGTTAGCGTGTACCCCAACGGTGTTCACAATATCAATAACTGGTTGTCTGGTCCAGATGCGATGCGACCGCCGTCACATAGCTGGAATATTGCTGAGACGGGCGTTTCACAACAAGCTTCAAACAAACGTCATGGAAATGGAATTTTTTAACAATCGCTTTGGATGACGTTAATTTAACCATCTTTTTCAGACCATGTACTGAAGATATTCAGTGAGTGGCGAGGGGACAGAGCCGCTGGTAAAGGCGTTTCTCTCAATGAAAGACGGAACAACCCGCGACTGGCATTCACAGTTCGTGGAATTTGTGGGAGGGTGATGAAAACCCCAAAGTATAGAGGTTTAGTTTCATGCTACTTTTTATATGTAATTTTACTGATATACATGTATGCCATGTTTTCTAAACAGCATCTGTTTTCATTAGACCTTCTATTACAAAACGCCCTCACACGCAGAATAAATGTAAACTAAAATATATAGACAATTTATCTTGTCACTTCTTTCTTTCTTTTTCATTACTGCACATGACCCGTTAAGATTCCGGGGTAGAATAGGTCTTCAGCAACCCATACTTGCCGTAAAAGGCGACTATGCTCGTCGTAAAAGGCGACTAACGGGATCGGGTGGTCAGGCTCGCTGACTTGGTTGATACATGTCATCGATCCCAATTGCGTGGATCGATGCTCATAATGTCAATCACTGGATTGTCTGGTCCAGACTCGATTATTTTACACACCGCCGTCATATAGCTGGACTATTGCTGAGTGAGGCGTTAAACAACAAACAAACAAACAAACAAACGTTATTGTATATCGCTCGCTGACTTGGTTGAAGCATGTCATTAATCACAGTTGCATGGATCGATGCTCATGATATCAATCACTCAATTGTCTGGTCCAGACTGGATTATTTACAGACCGCCGTCATATATCTGGAATATTGCTGAGTGCGGCGTAAAATAACAAACCAAGCAACCATTATTGCATATCATATGAAATACAAACGTGGTACACATGGAATGTGATAGATCTGATCATCGTTACGTTATTAAAGATGTCTCTTTAATATGATTTATTGTCAGGTTTAACACGTGAGGGATATGTTCCGATAGTTGTACAACTGGTACAAAAAGCTGGGCACCTGGACTATCAAAGCATACGCTGCGACGTATTCAAGGTGTGTACTTGATTCAGCATCATCAGTGATAAATATTAGTATAACATGTACAATACAAATTAAAAACATATTGTAAAATAAGGCATTGTGTTGGATATGGTAAAAGTAAATCTTCGTGTTTGTGTACCAAGTATGTGTGAAAGTATTTAGGTTCCTGGTTTATAATTGAGTTGCAACGATGCATGTGCCTATTCCACGTGTCACTATATGTTTAACATACATATTGATTGTGGGTTCGAATTCCGGTTCGCCCCGATTATGTTTCTAGGTTTGTCAGCACCATACCCGTGCTCATGGGTTTCACCGAAGTGGTAAACGTCTGAGACCTGCATCACTTCGGGCTTTCCTCCCACATTAAGCTGACACGCCGTGATGTTACTGGAATAATGTTAAAAGCGGCGTTAAACCCAACTCACTCACTCATTAACATACATATACATATGTGTATCAATATGAAATCATTAGATGCAACATTATCATAATGAAGTTTCTTTGTTAATGCAAAGCATCATTTGTCCGTTTTAGATGCGTAGCATTAGGACATGCACTCAGATTCATGACACAGAAAAAAAGGATGATTACTTCCAGGATCTTCAATGTATCTTCCGGTACAACCTCAAAGAAGGAAACTATTTTGTTGTGCCATCGACTGAAAACCCACGGAACGAGAGAGAGTTCCTAGTACGACTTTTCTCTCCATGCCCTTTGCTTGAATGCAGGTAATGTTTCCTTACAAGTAACAATGTAAAACAATAACATTTAACATGTCAGTTCATCTGTTAAAGATATTGTTTATAGACAGAATGTATTTCCAGTCACAGATTCAAAACACACACTGTCTCTCTCAGAAAGGTGGAGCCATGACCTTTATGAGGGACCCACAACGCATTATTTATGAGAGCATCCGTCATGTCATGCAGTCATTGATGGGAACACGTTTTGTTTATGTAAGTCTCCCCCCAAAACACCCCATCAAAATAACATGGCACCTAGGAATCGTAATTGGCTTTAACAGGTACATGGCCCCCTTAAAGTTCAAGCATTGCAATTTGCATTGGTATATTCTTTTTATTTTACATTATGCATTACTGTTTTAACAGGTTTAAATGAGGGCAACTGCAGATCAACTGCGGACTGTACTGACGGAAATGAAAAAGTTGATGACAGAATACAAATCCAGATGCGAATGTTCTCATGCGATAAGCATAGTTGCCTTTCACGGCAAGCATGGGTTGATGAAGACATATTCTAACTCGGATCTTCACGGGTTTCTAAGAAAAAGACATTGTGTTAAGGGGCTATAAATGCATTACGACCCATCCGTTACTATTTGGTTCAGAAACTGAAAAGTGTTTGACATATGTCCATACAACTATGAACTGCCACATCTATTTAAGAACTGAACGACGAATGGGAGTTGTTTATCGCACAATAAAACACTGCAGGGAGAATAAACCAGGAGGTGCGCATTGTTTTAGTGTACGATAAACAAAGACTATGAGTTGTTTATTTCAAAGAAAAATACAAGCATGTTGTAATATAATACCTGACGATTTCTTTCTTAATTGGTTCAAAGAAAGGCATGTTGTGCTACATCTTTTAACATATCTGTTTAACTAGTAAGATTATAGCATTAACAACATCGTTTTCTTAGCCTATTCCCAATATGATGTTTTGCGGCGAAAGAATCAAATAAATGTTAAGTAATCTTAATATCCAGTTTTCAATGTATCAATGCTATCATCACAATCCCAAATGACGTGTTCTATAGGTTCAAGTAGATTACCGGATAACTCTTCCATTTTTACAGCTGAACCAAAAGCCATGTTTACAGCTCTGGAGTATATCAATAAACAGTCAAAACAAAATCAATTCATGATTATTATTTTTCATGACTCTCTGTCCTGTCTTCAGGCTATTAAAAATAATTTGTGTGAGCATCCAAGTTTTACTTGACGTCATTGAATTACATAATAATGTTGCTACTGACCAATACGACATCGTCCTTTGTTGGTTACCCAGGCATGTTGGAATCGTTGGTAACACGATGGCTGCTGCTGCTGCAACAACACTCACAAAATCTGTAACACCACTTCTTATCACATACAGTGATATGGAACCGGTTATTAGATATAATATCAGAGATCTTATGCTTAAAAGTGGGACACCCAAGTTAATTCTAAATCAATTACACTGTACAAGTGATGTGATGCTTTTATTTAGGTAATGAGGCCACCGGCCCATCATACACGTGCAGAGCATGATGGCATACAAATGTGACAGAGCGCTGAATTATAAGATTTACAATGCAGTGTTCAAACTGTTAATATTGGAATTAATTATATGACACAGGTATTCCCTTGAAAATGGAATTACGTTTCTTACCAGCAAGAAATACATATTTTGCTAAATTGTTGCAAATACTTTGATTAGTCGAGCTGAATAATCTGAACATTTCTTCACGACTTGGAAATATGTGATAATGATTGGGTATGAGATTAGACCGCAGATAAAGATAGAACGGACACACCATACAAAAGTGGAACTCATCTTCGATAGCACTTACAACACAGAGGGGACAGAAACGTTCATGTCTTGGTATATTATATTATCTGCCTGTTTCAACCATAAGACGATGATTGGATCCGAGAAAATTCAAGATATTAATTCGAAATAATGTTACATCAATTAATCGAATCCAGTTATTATATGAAAATTTATCCCTTACTGCAGAGAACAATTCAAGCTCAGAACAAGATTCACAATTATTGTGCAACACTTGATTTTCAATGTCTACGCTCCTTTGCCTAAACTGATGTAGGAATAAGTCAGATCTACCAACACCCTGTTGTAGCCATACCTCTGCAAAGAAAACAGCAATGATTTAACCTTGAGTGCCCAGCAAGCGTTGCCATTCTCTGCCCTTTTATATTGAAAACTATATGTTTTTTTCAAAATCAAATTATTATCTTGTATCAATAGTCGAAGCCAAAATTTTATAATTTTTAAATAATGTGACACTTTGACGGAGTTTCTCATCAAGACAGATTTTACAAAGCTATTTGGTGTGTTTCTACTCAAACCCAAAGTCAATTTACAGAATTTACTGTGCACATTTTCAATGTCAGGTGATGCATTGAATCCCCAAACTTCCGATGCATATGTCAAAATTGGTAACACTTTTACATCAAAAATTTTGAAACAGACATCTGGTGGCAGATATGAGAATTTACCTAGTCTAGACTGGAGGATTTGAATCATCTTCCAAGCTTGCTGGGCTAATGTCTTCTGAGTTAAACTCCACGAGCCAGAAGAGGATAACTGGACACCGAGATACTTATAATTCGATACTGTGGTGACATCATCATTTCCCATCCTAAATTTTTCCTGATTTCTAAGTTTTCCGCCATTTCTAAAAATGACAACTTTACTTTTATCAGTATTAATAGTAAGTTTCCATTTATCACAATATAAAGATAGTTTATCAAGTCGCTTTTGAAGACCAACAACTGACACGTCCATTAAAATAATGTCATCGGCGAACAACAAGATGAACAGTTCTAGAGTATGTAAGGTATCACCATGAGCATCACACTACAACTCCTCGACAATGTCATTAATAAAAAATGAGAATAAAAATGGAGACAGCTGACATCCCTGTCTAACACCTGACATACAATGTACCCGTCAGTCCAGATTTGAAGAGGTCATTTTACGATGATGTCGTATTGGCCATACCAGATATACACATGATTATGTATTTCAAAGTTTCACATAACAAGCGATACCTGTGCCATCCATATAGGATATTTGTAATAATACTGGTTCCCATTTAATTCTTGTTATCTTTTTTTAAATTGATTCATAGGGAGCAGTTTTATGAATTAGTAGCATATAAGGCTATATAAGTGCAATGAGTGACGACGGTCTGTAAATAATCTGGTCTCTGGACAATCAAGTGATTGTTATGATGAGCTACGATACAGGCAAATGCGATACAATGACATGCAATCAACCAAGTTACAGAGCCTGACTACCCCTCCATTTCGTTAGGGCGGTCGGGTAGCCTAGTGGTTAAAGCGTTCGCTCGTCACGCCGAAGACCCGGGTTCGATTCGCAACATGGGTACAATGTGTGAAGCCCATTTCTGGTGTCCCCCGCTGTGATATTGCTGGAATATTGCTAAAAGCGGCGTAAAACCATACTCACTCACTCACTCGCTCACTCATGTAGCTGGAATATTGCTTAGTGCGACATTGAACCATAAACAAACAAACTAGCATGTCTGTAAGTTCATTTTTATATTTCAAACCAGCGCGCTCAACAATCCTGACGTGAACTCACAAGGCCGCTGTACGGAGGAGTAATTTCAACGTTAAGCGTGTTGTTTCATCGATGTAAGAGAATTGTATATCACACAAATGGAACGTGAGGCAAAACTGTTGTGCAAAGTCCACCGCAAAGTGGACGTTAACTAAACTAGTTTCCAAACGAATGTATACCATGAGTGTGCAAGACTATGGAAGAAAAACAAAAGCATGTTGAAAGTCAATATGTATAATATATATTTCATTAGAATTGCGTTTTAAGATAATGTGTAAAACTGCTCATTTTATTCAAAGAAATACCTTACGACTGACTGAAACACAAGACATATGGGGTCATTAATGACTAGTTTCACAATATCACTGTCACAAATCTGTGAAAGCACATTGTGAAAGCGAGTAAGTCCACCTTGTGCATTAATGCACGCCTGAACACGACGACGTACTGTGGACGTTTAATGTGGGATGACGTTGGGGATAATCCACTGCCTTTCCTCAAGGAAACATGTTTCAGTTCTTGGCGGCTGACTGATGCCACTGGGCGTGGTCCCATTAATATTCGATCTGGTTCATATCAGAAGAACATGCTCGCCAGAGTAAAACGTGAATGTTCGCGTTGTTCAGAAACTCCTTTGTGGACCTTACCGTATACTGTATACAATGCGTATTATCTTGCTGGAAGACAATGCCACGTAGCTGTTGTTGAATTAAACGTTCCTCAAGGCTCACCTGAATAATAACGTGCCTAGTTTCCATACCTCCTCCAAATGGTTGAACTTGTTGAATTTGTTTGGCATTAAACGTTCACCTACTCATCTGTATACAGGCTGCCGACCTTTATTTCTGTACAAGCAATATCTACCCAAACCCGAGAACATGACACGTCCCATGTCTCGCACATCGAACTCACCTGGCCAATGTCAGACTGTTACATCGGCGTTGCCGCGTTAACATCACTCCTCGGTAGGGTCGACGTTCTCTTAAGATCCTATATATACTCTGTCTGTCGACGGAACGTGTGTCCAAGTGCCGTCGTTTCGGTTGCCGTCGCTGTAATGAAGCGGTTTCGGAGATTAATGGTCCGGATGTGGTGGTCTCTCACTACTTCTACGCCTACTCTTCTACGTCTGATATCTCTCCTGTCTGTTGTAAACGTAACATCAATCTGGTAATCGTTACTCTGGTGCATTCAAACGTTCTTGCAATGGCGTCGTCCGTGGCTCCTTGTTGCGTCATACCAAAAGCTCTCCCCCTCTCTGTAGCGGTTAAACGTGGCATAGTTTCTTGGTGCTTTTGGTTGATGTGGTCATAACATGCCATGTTACCAGATTTATACAGTACTTTTTACGTCGCACAAAGTCGTTTTGAAAAAATGCAACATTTTCACAAAAAGTGTAATTGTTTCCTGCTTTTTGACACCGAATACATTTGGTTGTAGGAGCGCTGGTCAATATTCAAGCGATATCACGTCGGGGGACACCAAAAATGGGTTTCACGCATTGTACCCACGTGGGGAATCGATTTGGTTGAACTTGATCAAGGAACTCAAACAAAATACCGCCTGATGAGTTTAGCACATATTTCCCACTGGAACACAAATAATATACATAAGCAACAGAAATCTAACATTCCTCGACATATTCGATCAACATTAACAAGAGTTACATTCTTTACACCACTGACATGACAACAGTGTAAATTTGCAATTTGTAGCAATAATATAACGCAAATCTTTAACGTATACTTTAACGATCTTAACATTAACTTGGTCATACTTCCACTTCCTTCATGTCTTACTGTCTGAGGGTTTTAACAAGGCTCACAGGAGCTACTGAATGTAATGTTAATGGCAACATGATGAAGGAATTTGTGTTTGTTAGTTGTTTAACGACTCTCTCAGCAATATATCAGCTATGTGAATACTTGAATCCAACCCAGGCAACCCAGTTATTGACATCATAAGCACTGATCTGCGCAATAGGGATATGATGACATTCATTATCCAAGTCAGGTATTGTTAACAACTTGATTTCAAACGCAGGCATTTTGAAAATATCCTGTCACAAACTGATCAGCCGCCTTTCTCATGTGCAACTCTAACATAACAGAAAAACGACATTTGTCCACTCCAGCTACAATGCATGCCTGCAAATCTCTCACATGCTTGACTTGTTTCTGTCACCACCTCATTTACAGGGTTGGCACTGTTGGACATGCATGTCTTCCTTAATATGTTTCTTCATATCTTGAAAATACACATTCCTACTAATTACAAATGAGAAAGCTGTGAACAAGAATCGAATTTATGAATGTTTGCTCTAAGTAAATGAGTTCCCCTGAAACATCGATTTTTAAATAACTTTCATTTTACAATGTCCATCAATATTTGGTTTTGTAAGATTTGCATGGTTAACTGATATGTCATCAATCCTTGATTAGTCAAAACTATGGATATGATCTAAAATATGTGTTCTCAGGATATACACTCTGAGCATGATTTCGTTTGGATATATTCTGAGACATGTGAATTTAAAACATTGGACCAGGCTCTTGTTGTACTTCGTCCATGGTTACTCTTGCTCTTCTTAGGCGACAATGCTTGTCGTACGAGGCGACTAACGGGATCGGCTGGTCAGGCTCGGTGACTTGTTTGATGCGTGGATAGATGCTCATGATGTCAATCCCTCAATTGGCTGGTCCAGGTTCGATTATTTACAAACCGCCGTCATATAGATAAAACATTGCTGAGTGTGGCGTTAAACAACATGCAACAAACAAAGAAAATCTTAACGAGATTCAAAATTTGACAGATCAGTGTAATTCGTGTTGTTTTGGAGCTCCTCGTTGGGCTCAAATACTACTTCAAGGCAATACCGACTCTAAGCTCACCTTGACGTCAAGCTGAGATTTTTTCGTAGCTATCCCTCTGTCGCCCTCCCGTTATAATTGAACGTTATTACTGAACCAAAGAAAATTGTATTATAATAATATACATCTAAATGGGCATATACAATTTCGACATAATCCTGGTTCGGTTGACTGCTGATAATAATCAAAGCTATAACACATATTGATGAACAACGTTTTAAACTATTTACCATTGTGCGAGAGCATTTGAGTGTGCAGCTTTCACGTGCAGCAAATAATTATAGTTGCACTTTATAGGAAGTGTGCAAGTTAAGGGAGAGCGAAAAAAACAAAACCACCCACCCTTTATCCCCCAATATCCCCATGCCCGTCTCCATCCAACCCCAACCAAGTGAACATTGTGCACCCGCGACAGAGACACCACGACCCTAGCCTGTGTGTACATGCATCAATGCACAAAGAATTACTTCCTTGTCTGTCGCATAAAGCCTGCCTATTCACGGGTAGCAGCAAACAGTCTGCATTCACCCGATGCGCAGTACACGAGAAAAAGTGTCAGCTAGAGTTAGTTCTGCTTTGTGTCCAGCATGAAGACAACCTACATCTTTCAGCTGCTGATCCTGGCGGGATTTATCCACCTCAGTGTCCAGTGGAGCGGGTAAGTAACCAGATGTCATACGAACACTTTCATGTATCATTCAAGCAATTCTGTGAAAAACAGAAAGGCAATCAGATTTTATCCCCAAAACTACAAAAAAGGTATTTTTTCGCATTTCAAAATAGAGCAAAAATACGTTTAATGCAAATGATTACGTTTCTATATAGATAACATGACACATTGTTGGAAATAATAAGCCTGTTTTACTTTATGTAATTAGACTCACCCTACCTATTGCGACAATAATTGTCATGCGTTCATCTTTACTGCCCTTATTCAACAATGCATATGACAAACTCGGTCACAACAACCTCTGTATTTATCTGATGTCTGGTATTTGTAAGTCACCTTTTCACACGAGTCACAATTCAAGTTAGGCGACATACTTGCGATATGACGTGCGATAGTTTGGGCAACTGTGTGCTCCTCTCTGGGCGTAAATAATCGTTGAATGCGCAATTTTCTACGACCCTATTTGAATAATCGTGAATACATGCATGCATCAGGATTAATATTCGTCCATTTTACTTCTATATGATATTTGTCTATCAGTCATGAACATATTCATATACGATATGTAATTTGATATCATCTACTGCACCTGCATGGTAGCTGGTAGCCGAAACGTCATAACCCTAATTATGTAGTATACGCTGTACCTACATGGACCAATTTCACAACCAAGGCTGAAAGACGACATCACTACGCTAGTGTAGATGAAGCTACACCTCTGTCATTAGTATTGTTCGGTGTGTGGTCGAGGACAGAATTATGTATTCGGAATTTGTCAGTGTGTGGACGAGGACACACAAGCGTAGTGTGTTGTTGAAGACATGCATATGCAATAAGTGTTGGTAAGTGCGGATCAGGACACACATATGTAGCTCGCCTAAACATTCATTAAACTTATTTAATTGGTGAGCGTCCAGAAAGTGTCCGGAAGAGCGTCGAGTTTCTCAAGCGTAAAATGTACGGAAAAACGATGGTTTTTGCTCCGCCTTGTACAACTGTTAACAGTCAATCAGATGGCGCTGGTCCCCTGACGCACGTGATGTCCAAGGTTTCCTTTGGGGAGCATTAGGTTTCGTATCTCTGGGATTCCTTGCTCTAGTATCTGTCGTGCGCAGTGCGGCGAGATTTGCTGATAAGTCAATTTTAGGATATGAAACCTGTTATTTGAATTCAGACACACGCCAAGACGTGAAACCAATCCATCACATGTTACCAAGTTTATTGAGATGACATATCCGTCCGCTATGCACAGTTGTCCCAATCGGATAATGGGTTGTGTTTTACTTGATTACAACAGTTAATATTATTTTAATGTGACGTTTACACGACATACGGTTTTTCCTTTTGACGAAAGGTCGGCCGCATGATCGCTGAGCTGAAGTTTATAAGTGTATGAACGACACATTTTGACGTTCATATGTTTTTTCACGAGGCTGTATTTTTTAAATGACTACTTGCACATTCCTTGAGGGAAATCCCTGGGAATTCCCTAGGACACATTACATGCAGAAGTGTCGTTTCTCATCATTTAGACCCTTTAATTTTGAACTTAGCGTTTTAGCATACATGTACATTGGGATACGTCGGAGAGTTTGATTGCATGTCCGTTCAAGGATATCCTCGGTACAACCCATCCTAGAGAACAAAACGAAGAAAAGCACATCGAAACTATCGCTGTGACAGTCTACAGCAGTCTATGAATGTACCTTAGTATCTAACTGACACTTCGTTACAATCACCTTTCAATGATCGGCCTATTGATCAGTCATGACTAACACTTGAAATAGCCGGGGTATTCTCAGGACGACGACCCCTCGAATTTTTCCATTCGCAGGACGACGACCGCCGGTACGCTTTTGATGTGTGGTGGTGTTTTAGGAGGGGATTAACTCCTTGGTTAGTGTCAAAAACTGAAATGTGTTCACTGAATTCTCATTCTCGATATGGCAAACGCGCAGGTACAGTACACGTTTCTTCCAACTGCACGCGGCAGTAGATACCTTTGTACTGGTGGCTACACCTACCGAGTTGGAAAAAGGAAGAGGAATGACTGGATTTCTGTGTGCAGCCGACACCATCTACGGAGATGGAACCTTTTACGCGACTCCACGTCTCTTCTACCAGCTCTACACCCTCCACGCCTTTTTGCCAACAAGATGGGTTGAGACAGAGCAGGAGCTTTGGAACCATTTCAACAACGACAGCCCTCGCACCAATAACCACCTGGAGGGATGGCATGGACGCTTAAAGAAAGTCATCGGCAAAGCCCACCCCAACATCTTTGAGCTGATAAGATTTCTAGGAGCTGAACGGCAGAAGACAGAGTGTAATCTGCTACAGTACCAGGCCGGCCAGCGTCTCCCACCAAAAAAGAAGAAGTTCTGTGATATACAACGCAGAATCGATCAACTGAAGACCAGACTGATCCAGAATGAAGTCAGCGTAATTTTCTTTGCTGACTCAGTGTCTCATCTTCTCAAACTGTCTTAATTGCCCATGACTTTTACGTCATCTTGTACATATACATTCTAATTATTTGTAAATAAATCAATATTCCATCCTTATTGTCTTTCATTCGTTCGTTTCAAATCCATTTCCACTTTTTTACTTGCTCGAGTTGTTAAAATAACACTCGATACCCATTGTTCAACTAGATTGGCGGATTAAAATATTCGCAGGACGACGACCTCACTTTTTGCTAGTTTGTTTTCATACGACACAGGGGGTCGTCGTCCTGAGAATGAACCAAATAGCCATTGGTTTATTAACAGCTTAGGAAATCACCCCCGTCACTTGTATCGTATCTGACATTTTGACGCCTTGAACTTGATGTAAATGTATAACGACGCTCTATCTTTGTGACTTACTGGGGTAGTTCTTAACAGACCTGTCTCATCTAATTAGGATACCATCGTCGTCTACTTTCGTGCAGTTCGCCTACTGGGTTATCAAACGGCTTTATGACTTTATGCACCAGTGCGTCGTCTACATTCGCCTGCAGTGCATTTTGCCTTCAGTGTTATCAAAACAACCTTATGCTCCATTTGTTGACTCCTCCAGGCAGCCGGTAGAAATAGAGCACAGCACAATACAAACTGAAGACAAGGACCATAATACCGAGAGGTCGATAACATCATAAAATATACAAAGTAATGTTGTTGTAAATATCGGAATATGAAGACAGAAATAAGCATCATTTGCAAACAGCGCCCGAGTACGGCAATAATATCCTACAGACGCATTTCAGTCTCTATTAAGTGATAAATTGATAACGTGATAACAAGTGATCACTTGCTTGATAAAGGTGTTAGGATCTACACCGAAACGTCGCAATTATTGTAATAAAGAAGTTGTTCATCCATAGAACTCGTCTTACTTCATCACACCAACTTCTAAATGCCACTGAAAGAAACAATAGCATACATGAAGGGGATTAACAGTAACAACAATAGCATACATGAATGGGATGAGTGACTATCTGTATTATCATGATATTGTAGATATATCATATGTTAGTAATATTCGCATTGAATTCTCAGATTAAACTTGAAACCAACCAGTTGCAAGTATTAAAACTCACGGTGTGTTTTGGGGCAGAGGAATGAGGAAGTATATTACGGTTTCAATGAAGCTATACATAGAGGATTGTTTTCTCTGCTGTGCTTGAACGATCGCATTCACATCTCTTACCTCGACATTTGAAATACATTCCTTTTGTCATACTCATTCCAGGGATTATTTTTACACACGCGATTCATTCAATACTAATCATAATGAGTGAGTAAGTGAGTGAGGGAGAATGATTTTACGCCGTTTTAAATACATTCCAGAAATATCACGCGGGGACACTAGAACTTTGCTTCACACATTTACGCATATGGGAAATCAAACCGATGCCTCCTGCAGTACGAGCGAACACTTTAACCACTAGCTAACCCCACTGCCCCACAAATTATAATGCGCCCTATTCATGTATGTGTGACATCTCAAGCGTGTCGATAACTATATAATGTATATGTTGACATTGTGTTGGTTATTTCAAGCTGACATATCGATACTGCTGTCGAGTGTAGGGTATTGTACGTATAAGACACCGAACCCAATGTTGAGATATATTCCGTGCAGCTTCATATGCTATATGTTTTGTGTGAGCAGTTAATTTCCCACATTTGCCCAATGGTTTGATCTGTTATGTCACATTATGCGTCTCATAACACTACTGTGTTGCCGCTTAGTACTTTGTTTAGTCGAATCACAGAATTGCCACAAACTCCGCACAAGTCTGACCGTACAGTGACAAGAAAGGCGATTTTATTACGCTTCATCGGGTGTGATGCACAGGTGCGTGTGTGTGTGACGCTGCTTGTCCTCGCCCGTTCTGGTACTTGTACTACTAATTGTGTTGGGGGTCGGGGTGGGGTCGTTGTCAGGGCATTACATGGTATATCGTGGTACAAGTAGCCTACAGATAGGTTGATATTGTCCCAGGCTAAGCCAAATAAGTACAGGTTATACTGCACATGGTTAACAATACTGTACATTTGTGTTGCTTATTGCTCACTGTGACGTGTTTATAACAAACTGTACATTGTTGCCCCTGTACATTGGTGTTCCATGCTGTACCAGTACTGTCCTCAGTGGCGCTATTACCCATAAAGGTTCATGGTATGCTGTAAAGTGTCAACTGCATTGTACATTTGTGTCTTAGTGGCGCTATTAGCCATAAAGGTACATGGTGTACTGTAAATTGTAAACTGTATTGTACATTTGTGTCCTCAGTGACGCGCTTTTAGCCATAAAGGTACATGGTATACTGTAAATTGTCAACTGCATTGTACATTTGTGTCTTAGTGGCGCTATTACCCATAAAGGTACATGGTGTACTGTAAATTGTTAACTGTATTGTACATTTGTGTCTTAGTGGCGCTATTACCCATAAAGGTACATGGTGTACTGTAAATTGTTAACTGTATTGTACATTTGTGTCT